AGCGGCGATGCCGGGGCTGACGCCTGACGGGCTTGCCGCAGCCCCGGCGAAGCTGTTCGGTAACGGCGCTTTGTGTTCCGTAGGAGCTGAAGATGAACAAGCCCGTAACGACCGCCACGTACGTCCGCTGCCTTAGCTACGGGCTCATGAGGCAGCTGGCGGATTTCATCGATCCGCAAGAAGGGTGGAAGAAATTAGCAGTTGATATAACCGATCCCTCCGGTGGAAGCAGATACAATCAAATGCATATAAGGTGATACATAGAAGTCGCATGACATAATCTTGTTTCTTAACTCTTTAACCTAAATACCGGTGTCCATCCCATACTGGTGTCCATCCCATTACTGTAACTTGTTGCACTTTGTGTGCTGACAGGTACTTAAGAACTCATCTTACAGTACTGTTTCCTTAGGGATCTCAAGGTAATTACTTTTAATTGTTCTGTAGTTCAGTTTTCAGATAGGCTATAGCCAAAGAAAATTGACAGAGGAAATTAGAATTAATTAGAGCCATGGACATGTATTCTTAGTGATACAGCACTGGCAGGGTAACTTACTGTACCCTAGAGACTAGCAGACATTGACTTCATCATGCATCTCTACACAGGATCAGAACAACTGGACTGTAACTCCTAATCCATTGTTCCCAAGAAAATGCCCAACAAATGTGGGCAGCCCAAGACCTAAAACTAACAAGTTTAATTTAGAAGCAATGTTAGCATTATTTTATGAACACCTTATTGCTTGAAGGGCATGTTGAATCCTTAAGCTATTTCAAATGTTGTGAGATTTTAAATACTTTATGTATCTATCATCTTGGGTTTCCAGTCTTTCCAGTGATGTTAGCATTAAATATTTGTTTGTCTTTCTATAATAATAAATAATTAGGAATAGGATCTCAATTTCTGCTTAATGCCCATTCAAAATGAAGTGTGTATGCCAAATGGATGGAAAACACTTAATTTTTTTTTTCCATTTGATCTGGCTCTGACTTGCCCTGTGTCTCTTGCTGACATTGTCTTCTCTGTTAGTCCCATTTGCCAATATATTATGGGTTCTGGACAAAATGTTGAATCCATGTATACATATATTTTCCTCATTTTTTTTCTCATATTTTTCCCTCGAGTTTCAATTTCTTTGGGATTTTAGCAGCATTTTAAGCTTCATGAATAATTTTACAGTACAGTTCAATAAATTCAGAATTTAAAAAAAATATTTTTTTGGTCATTTACCTTTTATATCTCTCTTCATAATTCTTGAGGTCACTTTTTTTTTTTTAAACATTGGTCTTGATTTATCTTTTAAGGAGATTTGAGGCATTTGTACAAATGGGAAAGAGCCCCACATGTGAATTACTTTATGACTGGGGAACCACAAACTGTACAGTTGGTGATCTTGTGGATCTGCTGATTAGGAATCAGTTCCTAGCACCAGCAAGCCTCTTGCTTCCAGGTAAGTTACTCGTGTACATTTTGAACTGTGTTCTCAGTTTTCTGAGATGCTACAGAGGTTCACAGTAACTTGAAAATCAGAAAGGATTAGGTCAAAATAATCAAAAGTGGACATATTTTCCATTATTTGTAATGTCTATAAGAGTTTCAAGTTTAAATAAGAGTCCTGCAGCTTACACATGGTGGCAGAATATAACCTTCTCATGATGCTTCTGTATCACCTAATCTTAGTAAATACTGGCATTAATGTTACTTGTTTTTTCTGATTCTTAATGTAGTTAACACTTTTTCCAAATTCCATTTTCAGAAGCTGTAAGGATGACACAAGAAGTTACGTTACCTCTTTCTTCACAGGAAACCTTGCCTATACATGAGAAACAACTGCCTATACAGGAAAAAGAAGTAGCATCTGTAAAGCCTGTTCTATCTCAGAGTACTGAGAAGCAACATTCAGCTCCTCCGTACTTAAGTCAAGAAAATAGCAGCTCACAGTCCAGTAACACAGGTAGGCACTTAGTTTGGTAGATTTAAGTACAATCTTTTTGCTGATCTGTCCTTCAACCCAAATGAAATAAATCATAGCAGTGCATTAGAGTAATTACTATATTGCTATTATCAGGCCTCTATGGGAAATGGCATCTTCTTTTTGCTCTTGTTCTGTGTGGCTGTGAATTTAGCTTGGATAATAAGATGTCTGAATATGGGATGCACCTTGCCAGTGAGATGGCTGCTGTGATGGAAAACTTAATTAAATTGCAATTTATTTTGTGCTACACGTAATCCTGTTGCCCTTTTTCAATATGGATATTGTAGACTGTTTAACATCTTGTTTTAAAGCTGGATTTTACATGTCACAGATGACTAAGAATGGTGGAGAAAAGATGACTAAGGAAAACATTCTAAGAAAGTATATGGTTAGTCTGCTCCTTCCTAAAGGTCCACTTTTGGGTTGCTGCCAGAAACATGATATGATCTAGATATATTTTTATAGATGATGCAGTGTGGTGCTCTCTGTGATCTGCTGCACGTTTAATTTCTATTATTACCTGTATTATGAGTATAAACAAAAAATAGAATCAGAAGGCTGCTACAGTGCTAGTTGTGAAGAAAATCATGCATAGCTAATTATATATATTTATTTGTGTCTGGGTTTTTTTCTTGGTATCTTCATCACAAGGCTGGAAGTAGGGTTTCACTGTGTTGGGATTTGCATGGTAGCAAGTTTTTGGTTTAACAGAACTGAAGCAGAGAATCTATTAAATACACTTGTTCTTCAGTGAAAACATAGTTGAGCTAAATGGCAAACATATCTTTCAGATTTCCATAATTTTTCATTTCATGACTTGGAAAGTGTTACAAATAACTTTGATGCACGACCAGAATCAGCTGGAGGTAATAAATTGGGAGAAGGTGGCTTTGGCATTGTGTTCAAAGGCTACATCAATGGCAGAAATGTGGCTGTCAAGAAGCTTGTTGCTGTGAGTTGTCCTGGGCATTTTTATTTTTAATGACTGTGTACTTTATATTATAGACTTGTTTATCTGCAGAAGTTGTTGAACTTCAAAAAGTTTCACCATGTTAAATATTAGTTGGATGAGTACCTTATCCTGTAGGCCCCTGAGTGGTGTGAGTTGACACAGTCACCAGAGGTGAAGTCTTCCCCTTTCTGTAGCTCTCCTTTGCATGGCTGAGGCTAGCTGTCTGGAAGAGCAAAGTGCACACAGGAAGTGTCAGAAGGGAAGGGGTGCTAAGGATGTTTCTCTTTCAGAATCAGGTGAACGATTTACAAGCTAAATAGGTATTGCCACAGAATTCTAGTCTTCATAAACAATGGTTTGTGTGAATAATTAATTTTGTAATGAGGAGATGCTATCAGTGGGTAACTACAGTGAAATAAAATGGGTGAGTTGGTGACTGTGCTGAAACTGGGTCCATTTGTCCAATAATACTGTGTTCCAAGGAATTAAAACTCATGTTCTCATACTTCATTTCTGAGTTGAGTAAAAAAAAATACTGTAAACAGTTAAACAGTTGTTACGTGTAACTAATCTAGAGGAAGGCTTACAGTTGCAATATTTTTTTTAATGGACATCTGTATTTTAATATGTGATATTAATGTCAAATAATTCCTTTTGTAGATGGTTGATGTTAGTGTTCAGGACTTGAAACAGCAATTTGATCAAGAAATAAAAATGATGGCAAAGTGAGTACAGTGTTACACGATGTCATTATAGTCTTTTATGGGGATCTAAATTGGCAGATAATATGTTGGCTAGTGTGGTCCCTTACTTTCGTCTTTCTAGCATAACAATGATTTTCATGTTAAGTGAGAATATTTCATATACAACATGACTATATTTTGTTCATTTTAAAGGACCACTGCAGAAACCTGGCTATGTGCAGTAGGGCTGAAACAAGTAATTGGGAATTAAGTTCCCTCTGCCTTGTATTTTGAACATACGTGAGTAGATTTTTTAAAAAAAAATTTTTTTTTTTTTTTTTAATGCTATAGGTGTCAGCATGAGAATCTAGTAGAACTACTTGGTTTCTCAAGTGATGGTGCTCAGCCTTGTCTGGTGTATGAATACATGCCCAATGGTTCATTGCTTGACAGACTTGCTTGTCTGGTAAGTAGAACTTTTTCTAGCTTCCAGTTGTCTTACTTTGCTGAAGTATAGATATCTATGAAATATCTTTGAAACTGTACTGAACTGTAATGGCCAAACAATGTTTTACTATTTAATTCTGTGTTCTGGAAGACAAATGTGATAACAAGTATTCTTCCAATAATATTTTATACAAATGGTTTAGATGCACTGATGTCAAAGCAGGCTGACAATACAATGTCACGTATGTCACAGGAGCTTGGCCTTGCTATGCCTGTGTGGAGTGGAGCAGAGGGTGCTGCAATATTGTTCCTGGTCCTAACATTGTCATGTTCTTGAGGTTCTGCATTGTGAAGTTGCCCTGTTTGTTGCCCTTGTGATAGAGGCTATAACACAATCTTCATAGTCTGCATATCTTTGTGAAGTGCCTAAATAAATGGAAATATTTGTTTTAAAATTAGTATTTTGTGTTAAGTGCAATGCTTGCTTCTGATTTAATCAAATGATGTATATTCTAGCCTTGGCCTTTAGTAAATAGTAAGTTGCTTTGTTTTTGGTGAGGCAACTCCATGTATGAAGGACAAACAGTTGCTTGTTAGAGTGATACCAACAGTAAGCCAGACAGCCTAGTAGATGAGTGTCCGTGTTAGTTTATTGGAGGAGTCTCAAAATCTGCTTTATACTAAGTGAATGCAGCTTCTGAGGCTGTAGTCTGGTGAGCATGTTAAACTGGTGCTACTTCAACCCTCCATACCCCCCCAGGCCTAAAAAATGTCATTTTGCTTTTTTCTGCACTGATCTTCCTGTTGTACTGGTTCAAGCATTTAGTAGGTGGAGAAAGAGCTGGGTTAGGGAACTTATCAGGCTGAAAAAATACTTGGTGAAAATAATATTTCCTTTTCACCTGGAGACGTTTCCTTTGCAAGGCTGCACAAATACTTTTGCCCCAACAGGAAAGAATTGCCATTGGTTTGGTTGTTTTCGTTACACACACTTACACATTTGCAATTTAAATTTTTTTCTAAACAGTACAGAAAAGAGAGTAAGTTTTACTTAAGGCAGTGCAAATTGTAGAAATTTAGCAGTACATGACAAGGATGTATATGAAAATATTCATTCATGTAACTTTGGCCATTACCATCAGGTGATCTAAAAGATTTGTGGTAATTGAAAGCTGAAGTAGAAATAAGTGAGGCCTTTACAAGGAAGAGACAAACTTATGATGTAAGTAATAAAGAATTTTAAATAGGAATCTGTAAATGAGAAAGAATCTTCTGATAAAGTCAAATAGGTGAGGAATGTGCATACCGAATGTGTATTCTTGCTGGTAGCTTAATTTTGTGACTTCACTGGATGTGTTTGAGGCAACTTACTTATGTCACCTTATTCTTGACTGGGCAAAGCCAGTGGAGCAGGCAAGGGAGGTGGTAGTATGATGAGATTCTCTAATTCTTTTCCCTTGGCCACTGACAAGATTAGGAAGTGGTTTTGAAATGCAGGTGTCCTCGCTTCTGAGGTCGAGATAAACTCTTGGGAAGTGGTAAATCCAAAACCACTGAAAGACTGACTTCTCTTGTTAGTAAAAATTGTTCATTGCTTTGAATGATTTGATTTGGATAAAAAGGCTGTGGTATTGGTGCCAGTACAAAGTGGAAGATGCAGTAGATACAGGTTCTTTGCAGTGCAACTGGCCTTGTAGGGTCAGAGTAGAATATTATCAAGAACACTTTTTGCCATGGGTGAGTCAACCTAAGGCAAAATGCAGGGGAAAGAACTGAATGTGACAAATGCATGTATTTCTGCCCAAGTAAATTAAGAAATGTATGCTATTAGTCTTTTTAATTATTTACTTGAAAACCACAAACCACAGCAAGAAGTCAGCTTTGGATTGTGGGGGTTTTGTATGTTTTTTTTATGGGAGCATATATATATATATATTAGATTTTCACCTTTCTACTTGCCTTTCTCCCTTCTTATTCAAGGATGACACTCCACCAATTTCTTGGAATACAAGATGTAGAATTGTTCAAGGTACAGCAAATGGCATCAACTTTTTGCATGAAAATAATCATATTCACAGAGATATTAAAAGGTAAAAGCTGCTGACTATTGCTGGCTTCATTTCCCTTTTTCTTTTTTCATCTTCACCCTGTTAAAGTCATTTCAGAGAGAACTGCAAGAAGCATTCCTTCAGTCAAGGGCACCATCTTTTCTGCAAGAGACATCCATCACTGTAATCTTGTCTGTGCCAGAAGGACATGACCAGTACAGACTTCTAAAGATAATTATGAGGCTATTGTAATCTATTACTATCAAATAGTTATCTGAGTGCTGCGAGGACACCCAGAAGTTCTGTTCTTTCACAACTGCTGCTAATGAAAAAGCTGCTGTTAAGAGAACATAATGACTTTTAAATGGGGAATTTTACAGATGAAAAGTTTTTTTTTTTTTTTTTTTTTTTTTTTTCCCCTAGAACATTCTTTCAGTGTCTCCTTTGATTTACTGATGTTTATTATGAAGACATTAAAATTATTTCAGTCATGTTTATGAAGTTCAGGGTTCTTGAAGGATAATGTATGTTCAATTTTTGTAATACCAGAAGTTTTTCCAGGGATATCAGAGCTCAGAAAAGGTGGGGGGTTTGTTGTAGGGTTTGGGTTGGGTTTTTCTGTTTGGTTTTGGTGTTTTCGCCTTCCTTGCTACAGTTGATTGTGGTGTTGTTTTTTAAATATCAAAGCAGTCCAAATCTTTGAAGAAAAGCTTCAGATCCGTTATTCATTCTCTGGATTAAGAAGGAGCAACTGACTGATTAGGTGTCATGGATGAATGTTTCAGTATCTTTTTGACTTCTGGCAACTCTGCTAAATATAGTCCACTTCAGTTTTGTGACCTTCCAGCTTGTGAGGACCAAGTTTTGCTTCAGCTGCCTCAAAACGTGCTTGCTGCTTTGACAATTTATGTTTCTTCTTTCTTCCCTGCTTAAGCCTCTGGACAAGAGTAATGGCTCGAAGGGACACATTTTTTACCTTACGCTACTCTACCCTTCTAACTGCTGTGAGTTGATCATATTACAGGATTGGGTTTTGTTTTGTTTGGATTCCATTTTGCAACCTCTTGCACTTGCAGTGTGAATAGTTCAATAAATTTGGTTGGTGTTATTAATAGCACTACCACTTCCAGGTAAAACTTAGGTAAGACATCTAAGAAGGTTTGCTTCAGTCTTCGTTTTACTATAACATGTGGAGACAATTTGTAACCACACAGGCACTAGAACAGCTTCTCTGTAGGCCAGAGGGGACATGATTGAATGGGTGTTTTCACAGTTGTCCATAGTTTTTTGGCTTGGTTGTGCGCAGAAAATAGTTTATTTGTCTCTTAAAGCTTGGCAGTTGCAGTAAAACTTTGTCGTGACTTTTGTGGTGTATCAAAAAAATAACCACCTTTGGGCTTGACTCAAGTTGGTAAGAAGCTCAATTTTATGAAGTTGTGATCCTGTTCTTCCTGCTTTAAATATGAAACCAGTTGGTGGATGGTGACTTGACTAGTGTTTGGCCTTTTGCATTGGTCTTTATTTAACATTGTTAACAGCAGTTCTAATACCAAGTGATCTGTTGTAACTTGCAGCTGTATTAACTTTGTTGAGCAGTTTTGGTGAGCAAGAAGGGGAAGTTAAAAATACAAGTTTCTAGTTAGTGTTATATATCTGGCTATGTAGTTTTCTTATGGTTCCATTAAGGGAGCCAGAAAATGAAGAGGATTATGAAAATGTTAAGTATTTTAAAATGGTTTCAAGCGCTACAGGTTTAAAAAACAGTAGAAGATTTATGCTGTAATTCATCCCACTGAATATTTTATGAAAATGTTAAGGTCCTTTAGATCAGCTTCACTCTTCAGGTTGGTTTTTTTTGGGGGGTTTTTTAAGGGAAGTAAAAGCTGGAGACCAAGCAGAAACATGACATGTACATTATTCCAGCATTAAGTTTTCTGTTTCTGTTCCATGAGAAAAATAAGAGTATTGGTATTAATTTAGCATGTGAATTTGTAATGGTTGACGTAGTATTAGATAATAGGTATAAAAACCTGCTTTTGTTAGTTCTGAGTAGAGATTTAGACAGTTAGGAATTGTACTGTCATTCAGTACCAGTTGATCAGAGCTGAGTATTCTCTATTATTATTCTTAAATAAAGTATTCAGATCCAAAACATAGGTATAACATAATTGATCTCTTATAAGAAATATTTATATTTGTAGAATCTGGGGGTATGTGGGGTATTTGTTTTTCTCCTTGTTTTTTTGGGCCTTTTTTTTAAATTGCATGCACAAGAAAAATCATAGATGGATCCTGGCAGCCAGTTCTTGACTTATTTAGAGCAATTAATTTTGAAATAGAGCAGTTTCCAATAAAATTAACTCTTACATTTTCTGCTGTATGAATAATGAATAAATATCTTAGATTTCAAAAAACAGTCAAGATAGCAGTCTGTTATAAAACCTAATGACTGTACAGATTTGGAAAATTATCTTTCTTCTTTCTTTTTCCCTTCTCCCCCAGTGCAAATATCTTATTAACTGATACGTATATGCCCAAAATCTCTGACTTTGGACTTGCAAGAGCATCAGTAACATTCACACAAACAATCATGACTGAAAGAATTGTTGGAACAGCAGCCTATATGGCACCTGAAGCTCTGCGAGGAGAGATAACACCTAAGTCTGATATCTTCAGTTTTGGAGTAGTAAGTAGAATGTGGGACCCAGTATATGACTTCTTCTGTAAACGATAAAAGCATATGAGATTGAGAATATCTGAAATTAAGTAATTCACCCTGATCTATCATTTCTCCTTTTCCCGATAGATGTGCTCTTAAGATACTGTTTCTAAACATTGAATAGATAGTTTAACATCATTTGAATGTGTTAAGACATTGATTTGCTATTGATTAAAATAAATATGTTAAAATGTAAATTTGAAGGTGAAGGACCAGACTAAAGTAACATTCCAAGTTCTAGCTAAAGGTAGTTTGAAGTAATGTGGAACATTGTTTCTTCTTGCATACTATTGCACAAAAATGCAACTCGGGCTCGAAAAAAATTATTTTAAAGAAAATGTTCCAAAATTAAGTGTGTTTTATTTTTTTTAAGCACCAAAAGTAGCTTAAAGTCCATGTGGGATTTGCCTTAAAGCTGAGTACAAAAAAAGAGATGATCTTATTATTTGGGACAATAATAAATCCATTCTGAATAGATCTAAGACCCTAACTGCTATTGACTACTTCCTTCATGGCATTTAGTTTCATGGGGAGGTAGGCCAGATACTGTTCCAGAATACTTTGGAAATCCTTCTGTCTTGATTTGAAGCAACACAGCGTACAGTGAGAAAAATTTGAGTTGAAACCCTTAAGTCATACTGCTTATAACACTTAATGAAAATAAAGGTAGGAACAACACCAACAACAATCAATTGTATAGAGAGCTATCTTTGGACAGATAGAGATCCTGTGAGCATTTGTTTGAAAGACTGGGGGTCATGCTCCTTTTTGCAAATGGTATATATGCTAAAGATTATTTTATGCTTTGTTTTTCTTGATATTTTTTCTCCTAGGTCTTGCTAGAAATAATAACAGGTCTTCCTCCAGTAGATGAAAACAGGGAGCCACAGTTACTGGTATGTTCTTTTAGCTTTCTCCTCCCCTTCCCCTGCTCCAGGATCACTTTAGATGAAATCGTAGTCAGTTAACTGGTTCTGAGACAAGCAAATTAGTCACCAAAATATGGAGTTATGAAAACAGCTCTTGTGTCAATGTTTATCTTAGAGGTGACGCTGAAACCTTTCTCTCTTGGCTGGTAGAAGACTGTTCAGTCCCCAAGGTCATCTCCTTCTGATCTGATACTGTAATCCTCTTTGTTTTGGTACTGCTTCTTGTGGTAATGTCATGCTTTATCTGCATAGTCCTGTTATACCCACATACCCTGATAGTTCCTCATTCACCACAACATTTTTACTAATCATCTCAGTTGTTTATCGTTCTTTATACTTACCATTCCTGTATCAGTTTTCATCTTCTTCAACTTTACTAACAATTTGCAGATACCTTCTATTTTTAACTTTTAAGGAAGTTTGGAATGTAAGGACTTTTTTGCAGGCTGAGAGGAGAGTTGAGTTTTGGTTTTTTTACTGTTCAATTAGTAATTCAGTCTACAACTTGGTAAACTAATGTCTCGGAGCTCACTCACTTGAACTAAAAATCTTATAAGGCTGTTCTTAATTTATCCTTTCACTTAGCTTAAAATTAAATTCTGAACTACTTAATCCAAGGCTTTCCTAGATTATTTTTTACATAAAGATTTATTAGATTTTTTTTCCTCTAAGCTATGTCTTCTGGAGTGGCATAATACTTACCCTGTTGAGCTGTATAAAGACATAGGAGAGCTCAGTCCCTATAAAATTGAATCTTGCTGTTTTGGGTTTTTTTTTTGAAGCAAGCTTTTTCAGAGATAGGATCTAAAAAGGAATATAAAGTATGATTTGACTGGTGCAGTTCATCTTTGTATTGTACTTTTGGGAGCATAAAGAGAATGGTCAGGGCAAGATAACGTGACATTCTTAGCTTTGAAAATTTTGGGGTAGTTTGTATCTTAGTCAGCAATTTCAGACTGACTTAATGTACTATACTGACTTGTCCGGGGTTGTCCTCAAACAGTACTTGTGATTACAGATAACCCATCTCAAGTGTGTTGGAGCTGGAGAGCTTTGGACTAAACCAGTCACATTTAAAAACTAATTCAGACTAGAAGTTTCCTTTAGAATAGATACAGCAATGAGTGAGACTGGTGACAGGCTTTAGTTTACAGAAAGAGGCTTTATAAAGTTTACCAAAAAAATATTATTATAAAAAAGAAATTATTCACACTTGTATATTTGTGAGTTATGAAGTAAACATAGTTTATGTTGATCATGCTGATCGTGCTTGAACTGGGAGAATACTAAAGCTGTGTGATGCAGTATAAAGAAAATAGCTTTATGATTTTGTGTTAGCTTGTTGTGGATGAAAGTATTAATATGATAATGGTTTAACAGGAAATAGATTTATTAATACCTAACAGCACTCGATCATTACAAAATAATTCAGAAAATATTATAAAAATAATGACTTATCTACTGATTCTAAGATGATAAGATTCACAGTAACTTATCTTAAATCTGTACGTGTGTACATGTGCATACACAAACACAAAACATACAAACACACACAGAGACCAAAGTATTTGGATCCAGTAGAATGAAGTATGTACCCACACACATACTAGTAAGCAGAGAAAGAGTGGGTGAAAGAGAAGCTAGCTCAAAGTAAAATTTCCCTTCTCTCGAGTTTAGAGTAAATACTCACAATGCCTTGGCATTCCTCAACGGGCAATAATTGAGATTTGAGCAGGTTGACTTTGCCCTTGCCTTCTGGCAGCAGATGACACCTTAGGAGTTTTGGTACCTGAGAGGCATCCCAGCTCAGGGGAGATGCTGGTCACAGGCCTGCTGTGATCCAGGAGAGCTCAAAGGGTTTCCCTTGTGGTCACAATTTATAGGGTCCAAGATAATTGACTTTTGTCAGATAACTTTTGCACCTGCTCAGCTCGAACAACGAAGTATTCTGGTGTCTTCCAGCAGTTGCACAAGAACTTGATGAATGTGCAACTCAGTTATTGTTCCCATTTGACCACATCCCAGGCACAGGTGTGTTAGGAGATGATGGACTATTAAAACTGTTTCCAGAAGGGCTGGAGCCAGGCTCCTTAAAGGGGCACCTTAAGGTTAGCAGTCCTTACCTCCACAGATTGGTGTATAGCTCAGGGGAGGTGGGCGGAATCACACCTAGCACTAAGCAGCCCAGCAAGGAGGGACGAGGGGGGGTGAGAATTGCACCACCACGTAACTCAATCAGAAATAATGTATAATAGAGATGTATAGTTTATTTAGTCTCATAGGCTGTTTCTGCAGCTACTGATAAATAATTATGCTGCTGAAAACGCTGCTGAACCATTGTCATCATTCTTTGGTCAAGAAAAGAAATGTACACTCAAAAGCAGGTTTTCAAAGTGTTGGTGTGGATTATGTTGTGTTCAGATGGTGACAATGTTATCTGCTCATTGGTTCAAACTCTCTTCTAGTTAAGTATCAAAGATGAAATTGAGGATGAGGAAGCAACTGTTGAGGACTATGTTGATGAAAAGATGAGTGACTGGGATGTACCTTCAGTTCATAAAATGTATTCAATTGCTGATCAGTGTCTGAATGAGAAAAAAAACAGGCGGCCAGACATTAAGATGGTAGGTAGCCTTTCAGATAAAAGGCTTACTTTGAGTGCGTGTGTCCCTGTGTGTGTGGTTACAGGATCATTTACATTTCTGTCTGTTCTCTTGCAGGTCCAACAGCATCTACAAGAGATAAAAACTTGATACGTGTTTCTTCTGATACACAAACATTTTTGTAATGGAGGAGTCACGAGTATGATGCGAAGCATATGATCATTTTCTTGTAACGTATTTACTTATAGCAACATAATGATTTCTGAATATTGCTTAATAATCCTGCTTGCCCTGACTGTTCTGTGGAAACTTACCAAGGACTACTGTGTTTGGCAAAAATAAGAGACATGTCCCTGAAAAGCAGATGTGTTCTAACAAGTTGAGTCTTTGTAGACTATCTGTGGACAGTAGAAACTGGTAAGATAGAGGTGGTAAACCGGCTGTAACCACTCTTGTTCAAGAAATTGGCTAAGAGAACCTGCGCATGCTCCGAGGAAAAGTACAAGGTGAGGAAGACTGTGAGCCTTCCTCCAAAAGGCCCCCGAAGACGACCACCAGGAGGCGATGCGCAGGCGCAAAGAGAACATGAACTGCTGACACCAGCCTCTAGAACTAACCCAGCCTTACTCATGCATATGGATATTTTATTATGTAGTCCAATGGATATGTATATCCGCACTCTGTAAGTTTCTGGTAAAATGTGCTGTTGATGTGTGTGCAAGCTTTGTGGAGAAATCCCCTGGCACTGGAGTGAACTTACCTGCTTTATAACTCTCTCCAAATTACGGAGTTTGTTTCTGTGCATCAAGTAGCAAGTATTTTATTAGTATTTAGTGTGACATTATCAGCTTTGCTTTCCAGAACTTTCTGGTATGCATGTAAGGTGTGCTGTTGGCCTGTCACCACTGTGCTGTTTTTGTTAACTGAGCAGCCTTTTCACATACCCTTAGCCACTGGGCCATTAACATGAGAAAACTTTTTTTGTATTAACAAATTGCAGTGCTGGTACATCTTTTCCATAGCTTTTAAAATGCATTTTCATGTTAGAATCTGTTTGATTCTTTTGCTTTCCAAGTATCACATATGTCTGCTGCAAAGGCGTATGATGGCAACAAGGTAGACTGTTTTTTCTGAAAATTGCTTTCTTAATCAGGTGGACTAGACATTTTTCTTTGGAAGACAAAAACATTTAATAGATATAAATGGCACTTGTGTTGTCTTTTGGGGAAGAGACAATAGTAATACCCATTTAAAACATTATTTAGCATTTTAATTTGAGAGTTTATATTAGTGTGAATGAACTGGTAGTGTTTGTGAACGTGACTGTTTTTCTTCCAAAAGTCTTATTGGGATTAGTTTTAGTCAAATAAATGCTGCAAGACATGTTCTAGGATGGTTTTCAAGGATTCCCAAGCAAAATAATGCAGTGCAAATTCAAAAATACATATGGCTTTCTTCCAGTGAACTTTGTATGATGACAAACCATTTAATTTTTGTTCATAAGAAGACTCATAGCTGCTTTGAGTATTTTACACTTTAGGAGAAGATTCCATATGGATTATAAACACAGATGGTTTAATTTGTTAAAGGGTCCAGAATACAAATTCTGTTAAGACCAATTCTGCATTTTCCTTAGTCAAATAATTAAACTCTTTTTTTTTAAAAAAAGTATAAATAACTAAATACTAAAATACACTTTTAAAAAAACAACATGGAAAGCTTTCTGAATTGGAAACATTAACAGATCAAAGCCTAAAAAGGGAATGAAAGTGACAAGTAAGATTCCAGATACTTTGGACTAAGTGGGCATGAAAATATTGCTCATTGTAAATGAAAGAGGTTATTTTCATATAAAACTTTTTTGTACTTCATGAACTTTGTTCTCAACAGCTTAGGGGTAGGAAAAGAGTCTGGCTTACAGCTATATTTGAAATTTCATGATTACCAAAGAAAAATGAATCACTGGAAATGAGTTGACTGTATTCAAGTATATATATATATATATATATATCTATCTTTGTAGGATGCACATGATTTCTAACACTTATATTTCTATCATTAATAGCCAGAAGATCTAACTCATTCTGCATTGCCTTTTCAAATTGATAGTTTAATTTAGAGAAAGGGATCCACCTAAACAGCTTCTAGTTTTACTGAGCATAAATTGTAAAAAACTGTAAACATAAGTAAAAATGCTGCATTATCACTGCAGATGAGTATTTCTGCTGTTAAAACTTTAAGCCTTGGAAATAATTCTGTTTCTTGCATTTCTGATAATATCATTATGCTAACCTCACTGCATGGAATAAAGCTGTACAGCTCTGAACCTGGGCTTGTGGAGGAAAAAAGCTGCTATAAATCTAAACCAGAATAAAATCTGCTGAAGCCATTCTTCAGTTTTAAACATCTCCAGCTGTTACATGAAGGTTTCTTATTAGATCACGTCTGCTTTTTACTATTCCCTGGAGCTAGAATACATCCATAGTGTTGTCCTGAAGTGGGTTAGCTGTAGTAACTCCTCAGTCAGTGCCATTCACTTTTGGTGTGGTAGAACAATTTTGTTTCTGCACCAGCCATGATCTAAGTAGTAGGAGACTCTTGGCTACAAGCATGTGAACTTCTGTTCCTCTGTCATAGCAGACCATGACTATTTGCAGTGCTGCTGTCAGCACCTAAGTTTTAGCAGGAGTTTTCCCTCACTGAAAATGAAGTGTGTTAGCTACCATTTCATAAAAGAAAAAAAAAATACTCTGAACTCATTTAATACTATTCTAGTGAGAAATGAAAATGTGAGGTGTTCTGTTAGCTACCTTTACCTCATTACCTATGTGGGAACTTTTTTAAAAAAAGAACAAAACCAAAAACCACAGCATGCAAAGAGAAGGAGCTTCACCTTTTCCCCTCAAGATTTCTTTGAGGTCTTCATACAGTAAAGTCAGCACTTACAGACACTAACAGGGGATAAGAAGAGCTGACTTCTGTTTCATTTATTCCCTGCAAAAACATTAAGCTATCCTAGGATCTATATTTCTTGTATTAGTCACTACAGTAAGGTTCCAAGACACAAACCAGCAACTAGAGTCATTCAGGTTCTTTGCAAGTAAAGGGATGACCCAGCTGCATAGAAGGTGAGAAAATTTGGTACAGTTCCAGGTGGGCAAGGAGAGCTCCGCATGGAAAATGCTTCTGGGATAGACAGGGTGAACATGGCTGGCTGACACCCTGTCTCGGCAGGGAAGGTGCTGTGGAGTGTTGCTGAGGTCACTACCCTCAGTGTGAGAGCCAACTTTTTGCTTGGTAAGGGGTCTTGAAAACTGTAACATAAAGCAGCTTAGTCACCCCCTAGAAGGAAATATGAATGAAAAATACCACGAGTTACTGCAATTCCAGCTAAGACTCTAGAAAGAAGCAGCAAGATAAAAGCAAATGCTAATGAGCCAAAGGCTGTTGAAGAAAAAACCTCTTATGAAGGGCAACAATTCTCCCCTTGCTTACAGCAAGAGGTAACAGGACTGCTACTGTGAGTCGGACCAGAGGTGTCTGTAAAACCCCAAGGCCGGGACATGAGCTGTTGGCAGCTGCTGAGGAAAGAATGCAACAATGGGACACCTACGTAGATACTGCACCCGAATATGATGGCTTTGTACAGATTGTGGCTCGTTAACTTTGAAAAGGATGTGAGGTGTTCATTAGTTACTAAGCAAGCCTCTCAAATTTGCTTTGATTAGTTTGTCCAGTTGCCTTTTGAGCGAACACACCTTTTACCAGCCACAGTAGTTTGTATGATTGAGATCAGAAGAACTGCCTCATGTTTCTATTTGGGCTGGCCAGCTGAGAGTTTTATTTAACACCAACTGACCAAAAGGCAAAGAAAACTGCTTCTGATATTCATGGTCACATAGAGGCCTAAGCCTATGCCCTCCTCTTACCTTGCTCTGGCTCCTCTTAACTGCAGTAGCTTTGTTTCTGTATAGCATTTTGCATTTAAATTATTCCCTTAAATCCTAGTTCAACACGTCTTCAAATTTCCTTTTTTCAACTGCAAAATTGACTTCCCCATAGGGATGTGTTGGCAGGACAGTTAAAAGAAAAGCCAAGCCACTAAATGTTCTTTTCAGCTTGAATTTTGAGGGCAATAGAACACTTAAAAGTAGTTTGCTTTAATTTAGACAAAAAAAACCACATTAATGGAACAACATAATTTGAGCAGTTTAATTATATTACCTCATGCTGAGCAAGTAACAACAGACTGAACTGTTAAATTACTAATCAACTACTTCAGCATTTTAAAAGGATAGAAGAACTTTTTGAAGGGTCTTACTGAAAGCATAAAAACCTCAAGAGAAGAACACACTTGGATACTGCTATGGAGGCCTCTGTGCTGCTCCCAAAAGTCAACAGGAAAGTAGCTGTTTCTAACATACTGACTTTTCCCCAGTAGCAAAAGTCAGGAATTCTGTTTCTGCTCACCTCTCAAACCCCACAATCACTTTTTTATACTGATTTCTAGTCCCATGGGAACTACCTGTTACTCTACACAATTTCAGAATACAGATCTTTGTTAAAGAGATTATGAAATTATTCAGACAACACCAAAATAAAGCATCAATCTTTATTTATAAAGTAAATTTAAAAATAGGTAAACAGTGAATTTTAGCATCTGAAGCTGGTTTTCATTGAATACATAGACAATGTAAATCAAAAGTTTTATCAATGTGTTTATCCAAGTAATAGAGTAATTATTACCTTGATTAGTTTTACAGACCTCTGTTAGTGTTTTAAAAGATCAAAATCTCCCTACCTTGCAACATAAACATTTAAAAAATAATTACTTGTCATGTTAATTAATAATAGCCTGTGAGTTAACTACAAGCAGCTGCATTGCTTTTGGGCTTTATGAAGGCCAACAACAATTTGAATGGACACTTTCAATTATTAAATTGCCAGAGACAGTTAAAGGAGTAACTTGCATTAATGCCCTCATTTTATGCTGGCTCTGAACATTCATTAACAGTACTACTGTCATGTGAGACAACTACACATATGTAAACATGATGGATCTTAACACAAAAATCAGATGCTTCTTATTGCTTTGTCAGGAGAATAGCTACAAGAGGCCTGGAGAGGCAGCTGGCAGTGCAAAACTTCATGCAATTCTCTTCTAGGGGAAAGGTAAGAGGGAAATATGCTCAGGACATGACTCTGCACTGGCTGGTCAGGGGTTCATACACCCACACAGAGTATTTTCAAGTTAAATAACTTACAATGTTTGGTTTGGGCCGAACTCTAAAGCAGCTCATTATAAACACCTTCACATAATCACTTGACCAGCTCTCACCATCCTCCAGATTAATCTTTCTAGCTCCTATCCTCATCTATCTAGGGCAGGGTTAAGGAGAAAAACCACAAAAAAAAACCCACAACATGCACATAACCATATCAGGTCAAGCTGTTCATTATTTAAAACATTTGGTATTAAAATGCTGAATTCTTTACTGTCTCAAATAAAAAAAAATGTATGTGCACAGTTAGTATGGCTGACACAAAGGCAGGAATACTAAAATCAACCAAAAAACTCTCTAGTGGTAATTTTTAACTGCTACACTCAAAAGGTTTTCCTAAAAACCAACCAACCAAAAAAAACAACCCCCCACCCACCAAACCAAAATTAATTAGGTGCTCTTCAAGGATGCGGAGTTCAACTGAAAATAATACATTTAATTACAATGTACAATGAGCTGCAAGCATATTAACCATGTTTAAAAAACAATGACACTTGCCTGACAGGTAGTACACACAAGAAACACTTCAAAGACCAACTCCTTGCCCTAGAGAGAGAAGGCAAGAGGCAGAAAAAGAACACAGTAGCTGAAGGCAAGCTGGAGATAAGCCGAGGATCAAGAGCTATTGAATTGGATTGATGTAGTGTATAAGATTAAATGAAAAAAGGTGAGGTGTCAAATTTCTAATGCATATAAAAAACCACAGTAAACCCAACAACTATTGCAATCTTTGCATTACATAGTGCAATCTCAGACATCAGTAACAAGCTATCATCTCCAAACAAAATAATATATAAGATAAAATTTATCAGGAACTAGTAGTGTCAAAGCATTATTTCCCTACAAAACTAGGTTAAAATCTATCTTCCACCAGGTAGACAAGTGATTCAGCTATTTAATGTGTACACCCAGCACCTATGATAATATGAAGTGAGCCAAGACTTGCAACTCCCACGTAGCTTTAAAAATAATTAAAATTCAAAACCCACAGAGCTCACATACAAAACAGAAAAAATCAAGTCCCAACTGGGGAATATAATCTATCTACTAGTATTTTGTCTCATTACACAATTTTAAATATTTAAGGTCATTCAATACTTGATTTCCACATCTAATTCTTCTTTAATCCACTTATTAAAATAATCTATTTTTCCTCTTCTTATGAAATACATTACTCATGATTCAATCAAGTTTAGACTATTCTGGCTGATCTTAGTATTAAGTGGGGGGAGGGGAGGGGGAGAAAGACAAAATCCTAACCAGGTGCTGCCAGCAGTTATTCAAGACTTGGTTGGATTTTGTTACAGATTGAAGTTACTCTTAAAGTTCAAACATTTAGGAAAAATCATTTTCAGAATACCCTGAAAGTTAAAATTGCAGTTGATAGTGCAAACACACTAGAGTCTCAACTCACCTTTATGAAGCAAGTCTATTTCAATTTTTACTGAACTTACACAGTTTTAGATCCAAGAGCACAAGGTAATCAATTATTTATTAGAAACTTTAAGCATATTGCTTTGAAAGCAGCTCAATAATCTATTGAGTATACTAATTCATGCACTTTTAATCACCTTTTACTTAGTCATTCAGTACTTAATATGTAAGGCTTATGAGTGGTATAGAAATCTGGAAAAGCTGTAGTGGTTTTATGTCAGATTTCTTTAAAAGACAATTCCATTAATTTAGTTACAAATTTGAAATGACCATACTTTTGCATGAGAAAATATCCAGCTATTCCTGAACTCTTATGTTAATTGATGGCTAACTGATTTTAGTTTATCTTTTCTATTACAAAAAAGCAAACCAAAACAAAACCCAACAATGCATCATGTCAAACCCAGAAGAAAACCTTCTATTGTATTATTGTCCATAACAGCTACAATGAAAAATAAAGACTTATCTGGGACAATGCTATATAATCCTTCAGCTCTTCTCACATGGAAAGTCTTAAGCGTTTAACAGGCTGCTCACAGAACGTAGGCTTGTTATCTAGGCATACAGCTGTAACCTACTCACAGAATACATGGGCTTAATAGTCTTATGTCTGCAATTTATTATCACATGTACAGTTATTAAATAATAGATTCTAATTTAAAATAAAGGGGTACTAGCTTAGTTTTCCACTTCTAGCTTTAAAATAATTAGCTCTTCCACATGTCATAAAACATGGTCAACATAGTCATGTAACAATATAAAAAGTGTTGAGGTCAGAAGAGAGAAGAGTAAAAAGAGCCTTTTTTTTTCCCCTAGCATCTATGAATGGAATGATTTCAGTTCATTACCAAAAGCCAGAATTTCATTTCTTACTGTAATACTTTATAACAAATGCAAACAACAGTTTCTAATCACTAGGTGTTTCAGTCTCCGCTGGACCTCTAATCAGTCTTCGTATTCCCCTCTTCCCTGCAGGACCTTTAGGTTTAGCAAAACTTTGTTTGTGAGCATGTTGTTTTGGATGAACCTCTTCATAAAGAAAGTCAGCAGTTAACTCATCTCCATTATCTATTTCAATCTGTGAAAAAAACCCCAACATTTATCATATTCATCTTAAAGACATTTAAAAACATTACAAAATTTTGCTGAAGCTCTAAATACTGTATTAAAACCATATGTGCAATAATGTTCAGAGTCTAGCATGAAATGTTCCCCAACTAGTGCCTAATGCACTGAGAAATCTTGGATAGATTTTCTGAGCATCCACTAAACTCTTACCAGTATTGTCATTTGACTTAATTATTTTTCCTGAAATATAAGCACAACTGCACAGTACATATGCCAAGAAGCTTCCTCTGTCCCAAGCACATTGTACATGTTAATACTAACTAGAAGTACACACTCCATGTGGAAACAACTACTTATTAACTTCTTTAATAATAGAAAAGAAAGCAGCATGTGGATCTTTCAAAACTACAATTTCCTTTCTTTATTCTCCCCTCTAAAATAAAAACTGTCTCATGTAATCACCACATTTTAAGAGTTAAAATTTTTCACTAAAAGGTGCTTTAAACACTAACTGTAAAAGCAACATACAGACATACTATCTCTTGACACAGAAGTGGGAGAGTACCAACAGTTTATATGATTAGCTGGCTACTGCAACTCAGCAAGTATTCAGGCCAGGGAAAAGCTAAAATAAGTTTAATGAACAAAAGTGGGGGTTGTTATGGTTTTAAAAATTTAAGCATTTAAACCTGAATGGAAAGAAAATACTGTTCTCAAGCCAAATCCCACTATTTTGAATTGCAGGAATTTAGAATTCAGGGAAATGCTTTGGCCCTGCTCTGCTGAGCACTGAACACTTCATGGCCTGCCAACCACAGCACTTGATGGACTTGCCAGTCAGTGTTACTGTTACAAGTACATGCTTCAGAAATATGCCTACAGGAATTTCAGGAATCACACAGTGCATTTATTTCATTGTAGAAAGAAAATTTCTCAGAAATGATTACATATAAAAACACATAGTGATAACCTACTTAATGAATGTAAAAATGGTTAGTATTAATTCTGCTATTTTTTAGGTAGACATGATCCCCACAGAAACCAATCCTCAAAGTTTTTCTAAATTTACAGCACAAGTGTTAAGAATGTAAACATAGGTCACATATTCCACAAATGAACTATTCCTATGGTCTCTGCTCAGGAGGTGAGAAGCAACTTAGTAGTAGTAAAATCTACACAACGTGAAAAGATCAGCTTACTTGCATATCCTTGTTTGCCCCATCAAGGACTCATAAGATAGCAGTTTCAAGTTCCATAACTGCAGCTTGAAATTATTTTGAAAATCTTTAAATAACCTTGGCTTTAAAGGAATTTAGTGTTCAACAACAGCCATGTCTTGGGGTCCCAAATATGACAGATCTTTTCATAAAAAATCATGTTAATTCTAAACAGTCTGTCAAAGTACTCTCAAAGACTCTCTTGGTGCACAAGGATGTGTCTGTTAAAGCTATGAAAGTGTATAAAATATGAACCAGAGAAAAGCTTCCATGACTTAACTTTGTAACTGGAGCTTTATCAACAAGTATTTCTTGTTCTGGACAAAGTAAGTTACACACCACTTCTCACTGTTTAGAGAAGGTGGTGGCAAAGACAGTTATAGTTAGGTATTAAGAAGGAACAGAGGGATGGACAAAATACCAGTGTACCCAGTGTTACTTACCTTTCTAATTATCTGCATCCACAACTGTCTTTCTACAATTTCTAACAGTGGACTTTTGCAACTAGAGTAGAGCATTCGTTCTCGTATACTACAGGTATACCCTGGCATAGAGTAGATGAAAACTGCAGAAAAAGACCACAAATCAGACCATAACTATAATCCAACAAAACCTGTATCATAAAATAATTTACAGCAGAGAGGCATTATAAATCAGCTATGCAGTCTGACAGACAAAAATTTAACACCATTCTGAATCTTTTTTCTTCAGCAAGTGTTTAATTTCAAATGGGGGATGAGAGAATGGCCAGTATCTTTTATGTTTTCACATGATGACTAATTTATGGGTGTTCATAATCAAAAGGGATAGCTCATTACTTTCTAAACATAGGGAATCTTCAGAATTCAGTTTCACAACCAAATGACTCTGAAACTTATGCTGACAGACACATTACTTTTATGACACATCTTTCTCTCTGCCTCAGAATTACTAAAGTAATTGAAACAAGCCAATAAAATTTCATATTGGGAAATTTTCTCATACCTATGGATTCCAAATAGTCTCCTTCATGGGCATGCTTATACAGGAAAAAGTGGTAACGCGCAGCATCCTTTGGAATGCGTTTTGGCAAGTCCTTCAGTTCAGTATGAAGTGTGTTGGCCAAAATAATAGTTTCATTTTTCATATCAATTTCCTGTTAATAAAGCAAACCTGAATATAGTTAATATACAGAAGGTAAACCAGAGAACATGACAGGATGGAAAAAAAAATTGCATTAATCCAACATAGAATGGTAATTTAACAGTGTACGTCATCAATGCACAATTTAATGTACAGCTAATCTATTTTATACTCACTATTAAAAAATAAAGTATTTTATACTTGCCAGTTGTACATAATTGAGTTTCTTATTTTTCAATTTCTCCAAAGCCTGAATAGCTTCTTTAGCAATGGGGAATGCTACTCCTTGCAATGTTTGATGCTTGGTATCTACACCAACGTCTGTCTGTACCTGGAACACAAGTCAATTGAGATGTAAACAGAAACCTTTGCAAGCATTTGTTTGGTTTCATACAATAACAGCCAATGCATTGCATATGGTTACATGCAGAGTTAGCAGAAGCTATTCCAACAACAGACTACCCTAAAACATCAACAGATATGCAACAGATTTGCATTTTCAAATTTACAGGTCATGCTTGCTTGCTAACCTGAAAATGGTTTCATATCTCTGAAACAGCTAGCTTTGCAGAGCCAACAGAATCATCAGAGGAAAAAATGGCTCAGGTGTCAGTAAAGAAGCTCTAAGTTAAATTCTGGTATAAAGATACAATAAGCCAGGAGGAAAGGAACTGATTTTTCGTATACTGTGTAATACGTTTGAACTGACAGTACTACTTATAAACTTTGCTGTATCTTGAAAAAATTGAGATCAAAACATACAATGCCATTTTTAGGCAGTCAAAATTTTCAGAGGAAGAGAGAAAATGTATCTTATGAGACAGACTGATCTTGAAGGAAAAGCTAACAACTTCCCTCTTTCTTGCTTCAACACCCTCCCCCCAAAAGCCTGTATCAAAAAGAAAGCAAACAAAACAAATAAACAAAGTCTTAATTTCTGAATTCTAGAAGGCCTAACACAAAGTAAAAAAATCCAGGGTAACTGCAAGTTAGACAATTGTTCATAATCCAGTTAGTGAGAAATTATTAGAGAGAAAAGAACAGTTCTTTTAAAGCCATTTTTAAAGAATTTACATTTATCTTAACATTCATGCAGTTTCTCTCAAATGAGCTCTGGCATCCAGTTTTCCTACGTCTGAACTTACTGTCTAAGTGTTAGCTTTTGAATATATTTACTTCCTTTTGTAATTTCATGAATACATTTAACATTGGTGATGAAGCAGCAAAAGTCAGAAAAGTGTACAGAATGGAAAGTGTGGGTCTTATCTTCTAGTTGATAGATCTATGCAGCATTATTAAAAAGAGATGCCAATGAAATATGAAATAAACATAATAAAACCCAAAAGATACTTGGGGCAACACTATACTCCACATTTTGAGGAACAGCTTGTCAGCAATAAGGAGAGAGAAGAAGAAAGCAGGTCGAAGAGTTTACTTTTGTATCAAAGTTGGTAAATTTATGAAGAAGGTTATATAAAAAATAGTCACAAAATGTATCTGCATAAAAGCCTGATTAATAAACATAAAATAGACATCACAAAAATAATAAACCATAATAAAACACCATACTATATAAACCATATTAAAATACAAGTAGAGAAAAACTCAAACACGAGCTGTGAAGTACGGGGACAGGCAAGGGACAAGAGTAATGCAGCATAAACTCCAGATTTAAGAAAATGAACAAAATCTACTTGTCCATACTGCAACACATTTCAGACCATTAAAACAGAACAAAAACTCACTTAAAAATATTTATAAATTTACACTGTAAGATTTGTTAGTGATGGCTGCTGGTGGATAAAATGGCAGATGAAACTTCCTGTGAATCAATGTAAAGTAACATATGCAGGAGGAAAAAAAAAACCTCTCTTCTACCTGTGTGGTCATGGGGATGAGCTAGCTACTACCATTCAGGAGCAAGACCTTGCATGCTGAGTATCTCTGAAAATATAAGCCCCATGGCCAGTCTTAGCAAAAAAACCCACCCCAACACTCCCCACCCACAAATGAAATGTTATGCATTGTTAGAAAAAGAGAACAGAACACATCATTACACACTGTATATTATCAGTAACATGCCTGTATCTTGAATACCACATGCAGTTCTGGCTTCCCCATCCCTCCATCTCATAAATTATATAGCAGAACTGGAAAAAATGCAGGGAGAAGCAAAAGGATCAGGAGTACGGAGTGCCTCCTTTAGGAGGAAGAACTACCTAGACTAAGACTCTTCACCCCAGAAGAGCTAACTGATACAGAATATAACAGAGGTCTATGAATACAGTATTATAGAATAGTTTGGGTTGGAGGGGACATTTAGAGCTATCTTGTCCAACCCCCCTGCAATGAGCAGGGACATCTTCAACCAGATCAGGTTGCTAAAAGCCGCATCCAGCCTGACCTTGAATGTTTCCAGGGATGAGACATCTGCCACCTTTCTGGGCAACCTGCTCCCATGTTTCACCACCCTCATTGTAAAAAATTTCTTCCTTACATCTAGTTTGAATCTACTCTCCTTCAGTTTAAAACCGTTACCCAATGTCCTATTGCAGCAGGCTCTACTAAAGTCTGTCCCCATCTTTTTTATAAGCCCCCTTTAAGTATTGAAAGGCCACAAAAAGGTCTCCATAGAGCCTTCTCTAGGTTGAACACCCCCCAACTTCTGTGCTGAGGATTCTAGAGATGAACATAGTACTCCAGGTGGGGTCTCCCCAGGGCAGAGTAGAGAGGGGCAGTCACCTCCCTTGACCTGCTGGCCATGCTTCTCTTGATGCAGCCCAGGATACAGTTGGCTTTTGGAGATACAGTTGGCTTTATCAAAGGGGAGGGGCAAACTGAGGAATGACTTAATGACTTTTCTCTACCTTCCCCACAGTCTGTAGAATACACTGCCACAGGATCTGTGGCCCCACAAAAACTTTATGTGGATTTAGAAAAACAACAGGACTAGATGATGGGTAAAAAACCTATTAAGAACAGTTATATAATAAGACATCATCTCTCGCTCAGGAAGATCCTTACCTCCAAATGTTGAGGAAACAGAAGAGTATTCAAGGGAGCTATCATGGCCGCTTTGCCCTGCTCTTACACCCTTCCTAGATTTCTGACATTGTTCACTCAGGGGCTTGACAGCAGACTAAGTGATCTTTCGATCTGACCAAGTAAAATATTTCTTAGGGTGATTATGAAAGAATAAACTCAAATTCTTCTTTTTTTTTTTTCCTAAACTGGAAAGCTTTTAGTTTTCTGAATCTAATTATGGGCTTCCAAATGGTAGAAAGAATGAGGAGAGTAAGTTAATGTATTGCGAGATGCTTCAAACAAAGCCAAAATGGCAGCAATCTGCAGTTTATGTATCTCTGAAAAGCACAGCTATTGCTGCTGATGTTTCATAATAGCACATAAAGTTGCTGTCTGCATTAATCAGCTGCTAAATACAATGTATGTAGTGCAAAAGAGATAATACTAATACCAGAAGCAATCATTGGTACCACAGAAGATTTACATTCATTTGTGGTTTTTTTTTAATATCATTCAATTAATGCAGTTTGATGATGATGAATGTATTTCTACATTTGATTAATCAAAATTAGATGTGGAAAATAACAAAAGACACCACTGAAAAAAAAAAAAAGTCAATAAACAACGCTGCAGCAAAAGCACAGTAGAGTGAAGACATAAGGGAAGATACAGAGCTGCATTTAACACAATGGTTTACTGGTATCCAGCTGCAGAAACAAATCGTATTTTGAACGTATTTACCACAGCTGTAAAATACAAGCCTAAAGAACTAATAAGATCAGCATATAACCTATTTTAATATATGTCTGAACACAAACAGTGATCAAGAAAAGGAAAAATGTGATAAAAGAATCCTCTGAAACTTTTCAGTTGCTAGCTGGCAATCATCAAATTATTTGGTTAAAGGCATTTGTTAGAGGTTTTTCTAAAAAGCATTTGTAGCAAAAGCAAATCAGTCTCTTAAAAGGACTAGCTACTTGCTTTGGAGTTCTATTCTATTTTTATTGGAATTCCATTCACTTTCTCTCAGTCTTAAAAGACAAGTGCACTGGTGCTGGAAGCTAAGTACATTTCCTCTAGGAATAAGGCTGCTGAAATGCTCCTGGCAATCATTACTATGTTGTGATTTTGCTACAATTTCTGCCACCATGGGAAATGTATGTGGGAAATCACAGAATGGTTGAGGTTGGAATGCACCTCCAGAGGCCATCTTGTCCAACCACCCTACTCAGTGAGGGCCACCTATAGCCAGTCGCCCAGGTCTCTGTCCAGACACCTTTTGAGTATCTCCAAGATGGAGATGCCACAACCTCTGTGAGCAACCTGTGCTGTACTCAGACACCCTTCACAATGAAGCACATCTAGTGATATTTAAAGCATGTCAAGGGCCAAAGTTGCAAGGCCTCTGACTTGGACACTAGGTGTTGCCAACTCCACAAGATCATGCCACTCCACCTCCAGCCATCATCATCCTGCAGTCTAACCTCATTAAGAAATAAATTTATGTTCTTGTCCATTCAGACATTCTGAAACTTTCCATTTTATGTTCTGCCCTTTTTTACCCTAGAAAGAGTTTTTTGCTACGGTACATTTGGAACTCTGCACCCAATTTCGCCCCCATGCCCGAAGACATTGTAGGTACCTCATTAATCTTAATTTGTCGAAGTTCCTCTTCTGCTGCAGTCAAAGGTGCAGGGGAGGACTGTGATATCAAATATTTTTTATATCCATTCAGTGAAACATCATCCTGAAAGCACAATATCAATATTAATAATTTTTTTATAATAAAAGTTTTCTTCAGTGATGTTCTATGCAGTACAAAAATAAGCAGATACCTCCCACACAGTTATGGTCATTTTATTTGAACAGATTAAAAGTGTAGGTTCATTTGCAAATTCAGCTCATCTTCCTGTACAGCAGGGTCTGCTGGGCTGCTCTTTTATCCAATCGTACCATGGACAGCATTTCAGCAATCAGTCCCCAATTATTTAATTCAAAAATTAGCAGCAGTGAAGACTGTGTGCATGAAATTAATTCAGCTTTGTTGGACAAAACCTCACAACATTGCCATGATTCTAATAATAAAAAAAAATAATCTATTTTTCATAAAATTTGCATGCTCAGACTGATGTCTTATTGGTAGTTTTCTACCTAAAACATGGGAGACAGAAATGTTACTTTATGACAGGGAGTAAGCACATGATACTGAAAGTAGTTGAGGATGCAGCATCACAGAAGTGATGAATTCTGATAATCACTTTGGGGAATTCATTAATACTTAGTGTCATTTGTGGCCCTCTCCAAAGAGATTGATATCAAAAGCAAATACTGTTACGTTTTTTATTAAGGTGGTCATGCAGAAAAGGGTAGGCCTTTATGCAACCATATGAATGTGACTTTATACCCAAGTTCTGAGGAGAAACAGAAAGCTCCTTCTTATCTCTTTTCATCTCTGAAAGAGACAGACCTTCCCAAATACAATTTCCAGTGCCAATATTCCATTAAGTCTTGCTTCAGGAGCCCAGATGTATCAAGGTTAATAATGTGAAGTAGCAGGTGGGACCATAACCAGGTTCCACCAGGATAACAGAGCTTGTTGCAACTAAACCATTCTTGTGTCTAACAAAATAAAGACAGTAACCCACTGGATGCTGATGATCAAGGTTCTGAGTGAAGTCTGTGACTTGAATACCTCGAAGAAGCTGTGGTTTTCGCACAGATGAACATTAGAGGCCAGCTACAATTAAGTGGTTTATAAAGACACTGAAATCAACAGTTTTAGAGATCTATTAAGCTGTAACATAATGAGCTTGGGAAAAGTGAATTACATTGACTTCATCCTCTAAACACCTCAAGCACATTCTGAAATAAACGGAATAGACAAATGCAATGCATCTTGCTTACAATTGAGATAGAAGCTCAGACTTGGGCTCTGAGCTGTAGGGCTAGATGCAAATTCTACATATTACATAGACTCCTAATGGTTTGGTGCAAGTGGCAGTGAGAGATTAGTTGATTGAATGGGCAAGAAAAAAATAACGACCTCTACCAGTAAACTCTCTTAGCAACTCAGTTATCTACTTCTCCAGAATACAGCCTCTCCAGACATGTTTGTTAAGTGTGTTTGTTAAGATAATGAAGCCTCCATCACAGATTAGTGCCGAGTATAACAAATTATTTACTCGGTGAGCAGAAATATTAATCTCATGTCCTTGTGGACTTGTGTGTCCACCACAACAGCCCAGCTCTCTTGAACAGCTTTTTCCCCACTACAATACCCTCTATTCTTCCTCAAATCTCCCAACTCCTTCCCCTCCTTCAGCACCAGCTCCCTGTGTCAACAGTGGTGGTGCTTTGGTTCATATTCATGCATATGAACTAATGGGCAGGCCAAACAGAAGGTAACTGCTGCAGTCTCTCTTTGCTGAAGGAGGAAAAGGGGAATGATAATTTTGATCTCTAAGCAACCATCAGTTTTCATGAAAGCTGTAGGAATTCTGTGTCTCTGAGAACTCTAACTTGTATTTCTTTAAAACTGACAATGGATTAAAAACTCGATGTCTGATGTTTGTCTGGAAGGCATTACGACCATATAAGACTTACTTCCCAAAGTAATCAAGGTAATGCTATAGCCTCAGATTTCCTTACATGCACAGCACTTGTAGGCTTTTCAATATCCCTTAGAAGGCTCTTAGATTTCAGACCTGCACCTTCCAATTACCTTACCATAAGTGTTAACAATTTTCATTGAACAAATCAGTAGCTACTGACATTCTATTTCTGTAAGTTAAGATGGCAGCCATGGACTTGAGTTACATTTTATGGTCAAATTCTAAAGAACTGGCAGCTTAATATCCTTGGTTTAAAATAAAAACATTTGTTTTCAGATGTTAATGGCTTACAGATCACTGTTCTATCCCATTTCTGATTCAGAACCATACACCCAAAATGACTTTTGTATAAAATGGAGCTGTCAGTGTTAATGGTTGGACTGGATGATCTTCAAGGTCTTTTCCAACCTAGACGATTCTCTGAAAATTGGCCTGAAAGTTACAGTGTTACAGCTTTTAGAGGATTCATAGGCCTGCAATGAGATTAAGGGATGCTCCTATTATTCTTACATTATTTAGCTTTCATAACCATTTGATTCAAGGACTTCTTAGCCTGAAATTGTTAAATATGCTTAGTTACTGGTTCAAATGAGAGCAATTACATTTTAATATGGCAATGACACACATAGCTTTTAACTCTTTTTTGCTTAATCAAAAGAGAGCAGAAACACCACAAATTCATACTAGTAACATTAGCTACTTTATTTAGTATTTAAAAGTCAGCATGGTGACTTTAAAAAGAAATACATACCTGTACTGTTCCAAATACTTCATCCTTAATATGACCACCTCCAAATTCTTTCTTAAGTGTTGCTCGGGTTGCTGCATACAACATTTTTTGACGAACCTAGCATATAATAAAATAGGGTTGTTTTGGTTTGCATTTTTTTTTCTTTTTTCTTTGGTGTGCACAAAGAATCTAGCATGCTAGTATACCAAGTCTGTTAACAAAATATTTGTTCAAGAAAGATGTATAAGTGGGAAACTGCATTATGAAGTTGTAATTCTTAATAAACTCCACTGAATGAATCTGAATCATGATTTTAACACATGCTATTAAATTCTGAAGGGCATGATACTATTATGTATTATTATCAAAGTAATTCCAAAACTAAACTGCAGCTTTAGTTAAGAGTATGAGCTTTTCTTTAAATAGAAAAAACAACCAGTCATCATTACTGATTTTAAATGGGAAAATACACAATTGTTTAGTTCTTTTGTCACTGGTCTATGTACTAATGGATACAACAGACAAAAAGAAGGCTGCAAACAACTCATTGTTACCTTTAATTTGATAGTGACTCCAGATAGTTTTGGTTGAACTACAAAGTTGAAAACTGAAATTTTCTGAATGTAGAAGATCTAATGATATTTGTTCCCTATCAACTTCTGTCTAACATAGTCACTTAATCCTTTCTCAACAATCCCATCTTCCCACCTTATTTCACTATCATGCCACCCTTACCACAATACCTCACCTTTTCCACCTAATCTCTTCTATACACTCCAACTCCCGGTGTCTTACTATTTCCTAACTGCTAGTGAAAGTAGTAGGAATACTGGAATAGCTTTACTTTCTGTCTCCCCTCATCTCACATTCCCAGAACCTGTACACAGTATCCCAAGTTTCTCCTGAAATCCTTAACTCTAACCTCAGTTTCCTCCCATGTTCTCTAACTGCTGTCTAAGAAACAGTATGTTTTGTGGCAGGTCACAAATCTGCAAATCCCAGCTGGGCTGCCAGCAAGCCAAACAGAATAAACAGCTTGAGCTCACACTATAATCCTTCTCTATGATAACACCCATTGAGATTTCTGTCCTAGATCCTTCCATGAATTTTCATGAAACACTGACAGAACGATAGACAAGCAAACAGAGAAAAACCACTGTCTTGTCTCTTCCAGTCAGGCTAGAAATAAATTGGATCAGCTGCACTCCATCTAGACCCACTGATATTGCTCCTCAATCAGCTTCAAGAAAGATGTTTTCCCAGTTTTCTTGGGGGAAAGCAAGAGGAATGTGGGGGAATGCTTCATTCCTCAAATTCTCTTCCTTCATATCTAGGATTCAGATCAAATGGCACTGTTGAAAAATCATTAACAACATGAAGCCTCTGATGACTGCTACTTACAGGAGAGTGATCAGGTGACCATGCAATGAAGATCCACTCATATCCTTGAGCATTCTGAGAATCTAATCTGTATAGTATATAACATGGTTGCTTGTCTTCAAGAAGGGGAAGAACAAATGAATCATAATCCCTTTCCCATGATCCAACTGGCTGCCTAGAGGATCCCACAACAAGCTGCTCTATAAGGAATAGCCAAAACTAAAGGTTAGCAACAATACAGTTAATATTGTTCTTCAAAATTAGCAATTGTAATAAACAGTTAATCAGACACTTCATCTTTTGTAATTACATTCACAAGAATAGAAGTCAAGAACAGTCATTGTGAAAGCAGGTGAATTCCTACAAAATCTGTGTATGTTCAAACCCTAGCTTACTTTAACCCAAATACAAATAGTTGAGAAGTAATGTGCTGGTTGTCATTGAGTTCTTTGATCTGAAGAGATAGGACCGATGCTAGTGTTTTTAGCATAAAGTACACGGAAGGGAAATAAAAACTGTCTTCTGCCAGTTAGTTTATTTTTAAATTGGAATACTTAAGTAGAAACAAGATGAGAGTAAGCTTTTAAAATTTAGAATTAGAATTACTGATGCTCTTGCTGTAACATATTAGTGTTTGTACTCATTGTATGGAGTCAATTAACTCAGTTATACGGTGAAAAGAGTTTGGAATGAATATGCTTGCACTAATCACTTGAACTTGGCTATGTAAGTAGATAAATCTCTTTCTAATACAGCTTCATAACTATGGTCTCTTTAAATGACTGAAGTTGTTTAATATATATAATTGGCTTAAGTCTGTATACAATACTTCAGATGAGATTTAATTATGTGAACAGCTGTAGCAACAAGATTTGTCGCTTACTTATAAATCACATCTCAGCTTCCAAAGCAAAGTATTAGTATGGTATCTTTCAAAACATTTATCAGCTTCCCAATAAACACTAGCCTGTACCATCTAAACAGAAATACCTTGTTTAAATGGGATCCTACAACAGGTTGAGGACCATCATAGCAGCTAGTATACAAAATACCTTTTGGGAGTCTAGGACCTGACTTCTAAAACTTCAGACAGAAGTGCAACAGTATACAAATGCCTCTACAGCAAAACTTTCAGAGCAAGGCACCCTACCACAGTAAGTTACAGAACAGGCACAGCTCCGGGAAAGGGTGTTTGGCTTAGCTCCGAATTAGATGCAAAGTAGCCAAAGTAGAACACCTAGACCAGCGTATTCTGAATGTACTTGACAATTCTGAACTCTATGTGGCTTTACACTCACTGGTATTTAAGATGGAAAAATACAATCACAGGAACTCTACTGCCCAGCAGCAAACGTCTTCTCTTATTAAATCAGATTAGCAGAACTCAATTTGACTATTATCTGTTGACTAAAGGCAGTTGCCAAAAGCTCTTGAAAGACAGATGAGGCAACTGTCCCTTTTCCAGTACTCTGGGAGCTTTAGATGTTTCATTTTGAGCTGTGGAAAATAGTATCAAAGATAGGATTCTGCTTCGACATGGAGACAAAATTCATATATTCATATATGTGTACATACACAAACACATACAAAACAGAAAAAAAAATAGGGAATGTCTTCCATTTGTATCTTATTTCTAAGCTTCATTTCATATTAAAAAGTAGCATACACAGAAAAGAATATTGTTTCACCTTGCCTAATGGGAAAAAAATAATTCAGTGGTATGCCAGCATCTGTTACCTTGTGCTAGCAAGATTTTACCACAGTGACCTGCCCATATTACTATTGCCACTTCCTTAAGGAAAACCATATTAAAATGTGAGACTTCCTACAAAAAGTAAAACAAAGAAGGTAACAGTAGGTTATTTACCTAACAATTATGTATCTGTACGTACATGTACATACACATACCTTTCTCCAGCTAACAGGTATATTTCAGTGTACTGTAAATGAATGAACTCTAGAAAGAACAAAAAACCCAAGATGGGCCTTTGATGTACTTGAAAAGATGGACTAAACCATGAAGTGTCTTATACAGATGGACTAAACCATGAAGTGTCTTATACAGTCAACCAGCATTGCTGTTAAATCCGAAAAGTAATTATGCATTTTATCTTGCAATGTTTGCAGCCTTGATTACTTGCCAAGAAGTTCAAAGATCAAATTCAAATTCTGCAAGAAATTATGTAGTTTTATATTTATACATGAGATTTAAGAAACAGTTGTAGCTTTGAAAATTTGTACAAAATTACAGATTTTTAAAGATATTTTCTATGTATCCAGATTACTACTTAAATATGTGCTTTAATAGGACTTTCTACGTGCAGGTGATCCCAGTATAAAAGGCAGATAACATTTATACTTTGTGTAAAGTGACTAACTGCTGTGTAAGAATCTCTCTGTCTAATGAAAGTAACTTAAGTGCCAAAACACTACATAGGTGTGGAATTTTTTTTCCTCTACTCTTTCTTTAGTAAGAAGAGTAAGCTCATTTATATTATTGATATGAATTACATAGCAGGTCTTGTTAAAATATGACATTTGGAAGAAAAATTCAAATGCAAAAATACAGTAGCATCATACTGAAAAGCTTAGCATCACCAAAACTTTTATCCTACCTTCTGTATATGGAAGACCTTAGTAACATTAAGTATTGCAGAGTTTTGGTTTTTAAGCAATTGTACATGTATACCACTAAAACAACTAGGAAAATATCTAAAAGAATAAGAGAAAAGATGAAAATTTGACTAACCATTGTCAATGACTATTTTTAAAAGCCTGTATTGCCCATTTCTGGCTCCAACGAAGGTGTCTTTAACACTTCCACTAGCTGAAAAACAAAAAATAAAAGTAACCAAATTAATACATTTCACTGTCCCAGGACAAAGAATATTCACAAAGGCAAGAACAACACTGGAAAAGCATACAACTGGCCCTTCACTACAAAGTTGGACTGAAAAAAGAACACAGGAATGAGGTTCCCTCTATGCTACATACTGTTCCAGCCACCAGCATGCCACGAAAAGATGACAGGCAACATTATAAAACAGTCTTGCTTGCTAGCATACTGTATGATTTTCAATATTGTGAAAATTAAAAGTGACATCACACCATCACTCTCAGGTTTCAGGGTTAACACAGCAACACAATAAAAATATGACTCATCTCAAATTACAATAGCTTCATGAAGTCTGCAGGCATAGTACAAACTTTCAGACAGAAACTTTACGCCTGCCAGGAAAATATTAGAGCTTGTCTGGCAAAACTGCCAGTCTTTCCTGAGGATTCCTCTCTGAAGAGTACCCGTGAAAGCTGCCACTCATTGCTCATCTTTCTTATCACCTTATCTCCTTGTATGTATCTTGATAACATTGTTCAAACCCTGACCTATCACAACAGGGTAGCTTTGTAATGAATTTACAAACTAAAAATATTTTTAAATGTCCATAATTCACATTGACACTACACCACAAACGTGACAGACTCACTTCCCAAAGCATGATGAAGAACTATGCTTGAGTTATGTGAAGATCATTCTTACCTCAACTTTTCTGCTAAATAACCTCAGTGCAAATTAGTTTAATTATACTATAGACAGGGGGTTGTACAGAATTTATTGAAGAACATTTATTGCAAGCTGGTCCTTTAAGTAATCCCACAGCATATAGCATAGCACCATCAAAACAAACATCAAACCAGGAAACAAATAAAATGTGATTATTTATAGTCAGGTTGAGGCCAACTGAACAGATGGTCAGATCGTATCCAGCAACATTACTGCCCACACTCAAAACATTTTAAATTTATGCCCATCAAAGTGATGCCCAGGCTCATTCTTAAATATCAGAATGATGTGGGTAGGAAAGGAGGTGTTAAATAAACCGAACTGCATCGGGTTACCAGACCCAGCCTCATCCTCATTAGCATATTCCCACTAACCAGTGCAGACCCTCACTGAAATTTGCTGTCTGTTTTTCTAATCGCCTCTGCTGGTCCTCACCATTCCATTCAGCATGCAAATGTTGCACCACTTTCTAGACCTTTTGGTTCCCCCGGGACTTTTTTTGTCCTCTTGTCTATTATCTTTTTGTTCTTTTTTTCTCTCATTTCAACTCTACACACCAAAACAAGATCAAAATACAGCAGTCCCTGTACCGATACCAGAACTGCAACAGCTCACACACCAAAACAAGATCAAAATACAGCAGTCCCTGTACCGATACCAGAACTGCAACAGCTCCTTAAGTAATATTTTGAGACAAGATGTTTAAGAAACCATCTCACTATCAAGTGATCTATGCATTTTTTCTCGTAAAGGTTTTAAAATTCACAACAGAGTGATAATATTTTTACTTAAACTTCTGCATAGCAGAGACCTACAGAATTAAAATTCAGGTTTATTTCACAAATATTTTAAATAGAGTATTATTTTTAATTTAGAAGACTGGACATATTCTAGTGTATTTTCCCACAGCTCAATGTATTCTGCAACTTCCTACGCCATTTATCTGCACTGGCCTGTTTGAAAGTCCAGTCCTTTTAGCAAATGCCTGGTACATATCACAGTCCCCATGACTTCATTTCTGTTTCCAGAAAAGAGCAGTCCATGCTGCCAAATCTTGCAATTGTTTATGAGTGGCAGTAGCCTGCTTGTAGCTAAAGCCAGCAATGGCACAACAAGTGCATTCCTCTTCCAAACTGCAGAAGCGGATGCTTTGCTGCAAACAGGACTCCTGATTAGTGCCTGTCGAGGTAGGATCCATGCAGAAAAGCTGCCGAGTTCTCTACAGCTCTCCTCAGAGGCCAAAAGATTCTCAAAGACATGATGGAGAGTAGCAGAAGATGTTTAGCCACTCTTCTCGTTTGTGGTAAGCAACAGGATATTCTGCTACTCCTTCCACCATTGCCAGGAGAGAAAACAAGAGAATGAAGATTCACTGTAAGTTTTCCCCAGCCTGGGAAAAAGCCTATCCCAGCTGCACCTTTACAGCCTGAGAAAGGCTGAACAACTTAAAACAAGAAGCAGCAAAAAAGAGCAAAGACTGGCATGCAGGGGAAGAAGAGAGGCAAATGGGTGCAGATCAAATGGAGCCAATGGACAAATAAGAGAACAGATGAGCAGTTAAGAGCTGCCGTGGCTGGGACAAAAGTCACCTTCAACAATAAATATGGGAGAGCAGACAAAGTACACGGTACTAGTCACCGAACAAGCAGATTGCAGAAATCGAGACAGTAAAATCTGCCCTGTCCACAATCCTGCAGTGTAATCCCTGTTCAGCAATTCTGTGATTTGGGGGCACCTGGTAATACTGAGAAACAACACGCTGTCTTCTTCTCCTGGCTCTTCGCACCCTGCAAGGCCTGGAAACATGGGGGGAAAAAAGTATGTCTTAACCCCCCCACCCCTCCCCTTTTCCCCTTTGTGGCCCTCAGTGATGGGCTTTTTAGGGGGCTTCCCTACCCCGGGGCTCCTGGTGCTCCGCTACAACGCGACCAGCAGCGGCCCTCGGCGTTTTCCGCGCTGTCCAACCCATCCCAAACCCGCCGCGGCGACCCCGAGCAGGCGACAACTTCTCCGAAGGCCGGAGGTGCCCGGGGGAGCCCCCACACCACGGCCCCCACCTCAGGGCTCAGCCCGCCGCAGC